AGAGTAATGCTACAGTCAAGCACGCTCTTCGTGGGCTCTCGTGCTGGTGGAACTACCCCTGTGTGTGTTGCAGACGGCCATCTCCCCTGTGCGCTTCAGCACACTAAAAGGGCAAATTCCATCTAAAAGAGCTTCACGGGTGGAACGTCTTTTTAAAGACGCGTCTTTTTAAAGATGTCATACCATCCGTGTGTTTCTGGGTGCGGTCGATACCTGGCGTCACGATCGCTGCCTCTTGTGTCTGGGCACGAAGCACGTTGAGGTGGCTTTCGTGGATGACTCATGCTCCCATTGCGGGGGTATGACCATCTCGGAGTTGCGGACCAGACTCCGTTACCTGCAAGGGGGCGGAGTGCCCGTGCCACTGCCTAGATCTGGGGTTCCCTCTGGCGGCAGCCGGGGGCGCCCTTCTTCTGGCAGTGGGCGGACTGGTCTTACGGTCCCTCCGGGGATGCCCCAGCCAGCCGGCATTCCGAAACCAGCGGAGCTCTCAAAATTACTGCTCTAGAGGAGATCTGGATGGAGGAATGGGCCAAAATACCAGCAACAGTGTGTGACAACCTTGTGAAGACTTACAGAAAACGTTTGACCTCTGTCATTGCCACCAAAGGGTATATAACAAAGTATTGAGATGAAATTTTGTTATTGACCAAATACTTATTTTCCACCATAATTTGCATTAATTCTTAAAAAATCTTTAAAAATGTGATTTTCTGGATTTTTTTTTCTCATTTTGTCTCTCATAGTTGAGGTATACCTATGATGAAAATTACAGGCCTCTCTCATCTTTTTAAGTGGGAGAACTTGCACAATTGGTGGCTGACTAAATACTTTTTTGCCCCACTGTATAAATATATAAAATGTATTGTTGTAGAACATTGTTGTGTATAATTCCTAGTCATAAGCTTGTTCAGAAATGGTGACAAAAACTTGATTATTAAAAAATAACGTCTTTCTCGTTAAACGTCATTGAAATAAATATTTGAATATTTGTTTTTATGAACCCAAATATTACAATTTTGAAAAATTACCATCCCTAATAGCAATGGCCCACAACCACTTAACTGCCTAGTGACACACTAGCAACAACCCATTTGCAACCGTATAGCATTGCCTTGGCAACCACCCACAGCACCCTAGAAACCAAATTGGAACATGCTAAAAAAAAAAAACAGAATCCGCATGGCAACACCCTGGCAACCAGCCAAAACCTCATATGATCATAAATGCAGTGCATTACTCGGGTGTGTTTACCTGGCAAACGGCGGCCTGCAGCATGGCGTCAAAGCCTCCCTCAGGCGTGTCCATGTTCCCGGAGATCCTCTGCTCCTGAATGACCCGCGTGAACTCCGTCATGTTCTGGGTCACGGGGAGGACATGGATGTAGCCGTGAGCGGGCCTGCAGTGCACCTCATAATCACTGAGACAGAGAAAGAGGGAGAATTACAGCACGTCATCCACTGCAGATTCCCACACGAGTCACAATGAGATCACTGCCGAACGCAGCCCGGGATACCCTGAATGGCTTTACTCTCCTGGGACACACTAGAGCTTCCCATAGGAAAGACAAATCACACATCAGATCGCTCTAATATCTCGTCTGTTTCTGCTGAACGGAGAGAAAGCTGTTTTTGTCTCCCGCTTCTCATCTAGAGTTACAGAAGAGATCAGTCAGTCTTGTTATTGTTAAAAATCATTCTTGGTAACTGAAATAAAGCTGAAATAAAATAAAACATAAATATACGATAAAAAACTTAAACTTAAAAAAATGCAAACAAATATTAGATGCGTTGCCTTGGGAACTCCCTGAAATAAAATTTGCTGAAGTACTAAAATTACTAAAACTAAAACTGAAATAAAAATAAATGAATGCTACAGAGACATTTAATAAAAATGACAAAAACACAACAAAATAACAAACAAAAAATAAAAAATAAATAGTGAAATTAAGTACTAAATTTACTAAAACAAAAACTGAAATTAAATAAAGTTGTATTGAAATACTAAAAATAAAAACGGTAAAAACAAAAATTAGCAAACAAATTACTCAAATAAAAACAATTACTAAAAATGTGTAAATAATAATAATAATATGAATAACAATTATTTTTGTTTATTTATATTATTATTTATTTAATTATTTTTAGTATTTATTTTTATTTTAGTCATTATTTTGTTTCAGTAATTGTAATATTTATTATTATTATTAAACTGCTTAACTGACTAAAACACAAAAACAAACAAAAAAAACTTAATAATAATAATACTAAGGAATAAAGTTACTAAAACAAATTACTAAAATAAAAATAGAAATACAAAAAGTGTAAATAATATTAATTTTTATTTTTAGTATTTATATTATTTACTTATTTATTTTTTATTTTAGTAATTATTTTGTTTTAGTAATTATTACTTAAATGTGCTTACCTTATATTAAAATAAAAACAGAAAATGTAGCCAATTCATCATAATTAATAAATACTATAATAGCATATAAATAAGACTAAAATAACACTGTGATCAATTGAGCACAAACATTTTTCAATTTAATCTTAGCTGATGAATTTGTCTGTTTATTTTCTAAAGAATTTTAAGATAAATATTTGAGACAAAGAAAATACTCAACTGAAACTCAAATGCATATTTTGTTTATATCAGCTTATTAAAAATAGAAAATGAAATGTATAGTTTAAACATTTTGGATGCCTCTGTTGGCAGCGTCACTTCAGCGAGTTGTTTTTAAGGTCAAGAGCTTCCAGGGAACTAAGATATAAAAAATTATGTCTTTTATAAAAAGGCAACAAAAGGTTTCACAAGAGATGTAATCTGGACAATGTGGACAAAATAATCTTTTCTCATCCAAATAACAGCTGTGTGATTCTGCGCCAATCTCAGTTCAGAAGTATTAAGTGCACAGCGATACACAGAAATAATATTTACAAAAGAACTCAAGGTCTCAAGTATCAACTCGCATGTTTCTCCTAAAAATCCCTTTCCAAAATAAAAAGTAGATGCATACGAGTCAAAAATATATAAGTATATAGCTATATACAGCTAAAAGTATATAGCTGTAAAATTATTCCGATCATTTGTTTGAAATATTTGACTTGATTGCATATTTAAATCGCACTGTTGTCAGGAGAAATGACTGAATTATTTTTAATTATTTAATTAGAATTGTAATAATTAATTATTAAAAGTAATTTTAAAAATACTTAAAATATTAAAGTAATTAAATTAATAATGTATACATTTATTATTATTTAATAACTTAAATATTTTTAAATAATACTATTAATTATTATTAGACTTTATTTTTTTTAAAGTCGCATTTAAAAAAAATTATCTGAATTATTACTACTAAAGAGTTGTCATTTGTTCTTTGCTATGGGTTGCTTTGCTGCAGTTTTGGGTCGGATGTGTTCACCTGCAGGGGTTCAGCAGTTTGGAGGGGTGCACGTCGATGTACGGAGAAACCGGTTTATCCACAAACGAGCCGAAGCCGACTCTGAAGTCGCTGGAGTGTTCCTTCATCTGATGAGACAGAGCCAGGCCCGCGGTCTTCAGCCGGTCCAGATTATCCTGCATGGATGCCGAAACGTCCACTAGATAGTACAGATCCACAGGATAGCGCTCCAACTGCTGCACCTCAATCACGAACATCGCCTCGCCGCCTACCACAGGAAGTGACATCATCACAATACCATATTTAGAATTCTACACTTAAAGGAACACTCCACTATTTTTGAAAATAGGCTCATTTTCCAACTCCCCTAGAGTTAAACAGTTGAGTTTTAC